AAAAAATTACGTCAGCAGCCGTACCATGCGCAAGCGTAACTTTAATTACATTACATTTAATACGCACAACAATGATTACAGTACACAAACATTATCACAACGTTCACGTAATATCACAACACTCGCACTCACCACAGCTTGCCACACGCAGTACACACCTACCTTATGGTCACCGAGTATATATAGGCACCACATTCTGACCTCCTGTAGCCCAGGTGAAAGCCTTTTTTTTCTAATAATTAAGCAATAAATACGCACGGCGTAAGTATGAACTTGCGGTGGTCTGATGTAAGCACTTCAACACACATGCCTTTTATCCTAATCCTGCCTAATATTTAATATTTTTTTGCTATAACGAAAAAGTTTTATCAGTTGACGCTCTGTCGTACAGACTGAATTCGCATCAGCAGTGCTGTTTGTGGACCCGTAAAATGCACTGAATCATACACAAAGTGCGCGCGGCCTTGAATGAACACATTAACGAGGCACATTCAGCAGCTCCAGCGATGAACCGAGGTAGACCGCCGCTACCGCGTTCGACGACTAGGCCTCACTCACGAGTACGGCACGGTGATTCGATGAATGACAGCTGGCGATCACAAAAGGCTTGCTGATGTGCAGTTTACGTCTCGTTTTTCCCATGCACAGAAATAGGTGTCCGCTATCTACGCAGTTTAAGCTACGGAGCGATAGACTTAAACGAATGAGACGGTTCGCAGTCGCTGTTCCCGTTGCTCGCATGCATTGCATGTATAGCTCGCAGAGCTCGCCACGGCGGCCGGTGCGCAGTGCGAGCTCAATACGATGCCGGCTTGATACCGACGCCATAGCGAGGCCTTCCTACCGCTTAGATGTTGCAGCCGGTGAAATACCGGTGACACTCCGAGAAGCCACTATCGGAGGAGACGGGGCGAGCGCGTCGCCGGCGCAACTCTCAGACCGGTTGCCGGCCAGCCTGCCGTAGTCGAGCGAAGCCTACTTCGAACCGCTTCGAAGTTTTACGGTGCAATCGCTGACGATCGTACTCCGCCTCGTTCGGCGCTCGCCTTGTAGTTAGTCATTGACAGCTGCGGTCGCAAGGCGCAGAATACTGTTATACATGCCAGCAGCCTTCATTTTTTGTGAAACACATTCTTTGCATCGCCGGTGGTCGGTGCTAGCTCGTAGCGCTTGCCGCGGTGGCCAGCGCACAGTGCGAGTTCGATACGATGCCGGCTTGATACCGACGGCATAGCGAGGCCTTCTTACCACTTAGATGTTACAGCCGGTGAAATACCGGTGACACTCCGAGAAGCCACTATTGGCAGAGACGGGGCGAGCGCGTCGCCGGCGCAACTCTCAGACCGGTTGCCGGCCAGCCTGCCGTAGTCGAGCGAAGCCTACTTCAGACCACTTCGAAGTTTCTGATTGGTGAAACTCCAGGAGCAGCCGCTGACGATCGTAACAGCTTACTTTTGCTACCATTAATTCATTCTTCGAAGTTTTTTGTTACTCGGCCCTTTGAAGCGTGGCATTCAGGACGTTTCGTTGAGGAATCGGACCGATGTGCAGCGTGGTTTAACGGTGCAAAATATATTGAAATATTTCCAGTGAATACCAACCGGTCGTTGCTATTCTTCGCTGCACTTGTAATTTCGTTGCCTGTTGACTGATGCTTACACGGTTAGCCACACAAAGCACATGTGTTTCACACCGACGTGCAAACATATGCCCGTACACACACATACACACACACACACACACACGCACACACACACACACACACACACGCACACACACACACGTCACGCCCAAAGAGGGTTTTTAAAGCTCCTATAGGGAGTTTGTAACCACGTGACCTGAAACTCCCTGGGGAGTTTAACAAGGTCATGTCGTTCATAAACTCTGTGATTAAGGAGGGGGCGTTTTACGATGACATGTGCCGAGTTCACTCCCTACCAGGGAGTAAATAATTGGGGCAGGGGAGTTTTGTGGGCTCATGTGCTGGAGAAACTCCCATCTCGGCTAACTTTTGTTTACAGTGTACCACAATAACGTTTTGTCGCTCATTGAGACAGACGCTGTCCTCCTCGGCTACCTCGCGCCCCACCCCTGCAGCGTTGCGTATGCAGCAGTGGACGCGGTCCTTCTGGTAGTGAGATACGTTGAAGCCGTCCCGGGGTCGCCTGATGATCTTGTAGTCATCTGTTGGCAGGTTGGGCATTCGGCTCGTCATGGTGATCTTCCGCACGTACTGCGTCGCTTTCTGTATAAACGCCGCCTTCTCGGTAGACGCTGGCATTGCTTGCTGGTTCTTCGCCGGGTCGGCGTCTCCACCCGCCTTCTTGGTGTTTCGTTTGATCTCGCACCATCCCTGCTCTTTTCCGAACTCTGTCGGCGATATCTCCTCCCCTTCGACTTGCACGAATTCCATTTCGGGCGCCGGTGCAGTGGATGGGGCACCCGCTTGCTCCGACGACTTGTCAGGCCTGCCGTGCCTTGTCTACTGGCTTGACTGTCGTGCCAGCGTGGCAGTACGGGCAATCTTCGAAAAGTGACCGAAACACGGGCTCACCTGCACAAATGGTGTCGGGAGAGACCGCAGGACTTTCGCAGTCACTTGGGAATACTCTGAACTGAATGGCTGGAAAGAAATCGCCGAAAACCTTAGAAAATCTGCGGAGCTGATGCGACGCGTGTCCGCACACCGTGGCCCCCTAGCGGCCAATCGCCTCACTCAGAGTCATAAAATAATGACTGGTGCTTAAAACTATGTTATTCAAAATGCCAAAGGTAACTCTTTCCATGCAAGTTTTGGTGTCATGACTGCTTGCTGTAGAATACAGTGCCTCGGTGAATTGGACAAGTTATGAGCTTTGCCAGGCACCATCTTGGTCGAGAGTATAGCAGGAGACGTCGTCAGTTCAGATGACAATGTTACCGTTTTGACTGCACCAAGGCTGACATCACGTCTGACGTTGCCAGTAGGGCGGAAGTAGACCCAAGCAGTGATGAAGGTGCCAAAGGCAGTGCTAACAACCTTTAACCGTGCTTTGTAGTTTGCATCAGTATTCAGCCTTATTCACTGATGTTGTACCGGAATAGAAGCTGTTGCACTTGCTTATTAACGCGATAGCTTTAAAGAGCTCGTTTCGCGACGATTCCAGGGTCGGCATTGGCAATGTTGGTTGTGGGGGAAAAATTATCATCTCATGTGTGACCGAAAAATCCAGAATGATGCAAATGATAAAAAATACTAGGTCAGAGTCGGAATTGAACCCAGGTTGGGGGTGGGGGGTGGGGGGTGGGGGGTGGGGGGGGGTGCTAAGGAGATGTTCTACCACACGGCCATGTATCTGCTTGTGAAAATAACTTCCTCTACTTAGAAATGCAGTGCGTTGAACTTTAGTTTTTTTGCAAACACAGGTGTTCTGTATACATCTTTCACAATACAGCACGTATTATTTCAGCAATAATGCGTGCTAGAAGCGCCCATTAGCAGTGGGTATCAGAACATGTGATTATCATAATGACTTCGTGGTTTATAGCTGGCCACCTACTACAAAATGCACACACGCTACTGCCCCAATTCTCTTACGGCTATGTAGTCAGTGCATAGAGAGTTCGAAAAGGTTTCATGCACTAAGTGTTTGAAGTAGGCACAATGAACAGAACAGCTGTCGCGTTCAACTCTTAAAAGTGAAGCTTTAAGGTCCACCAATTTTTTGCAAAGCTTCAATGATAATTAGGATTTCTTGATGATCTCGACAATTTATGACAAGAAAGTCATGTGCACGTTATAGCTCCCTTCAAAGTAAAGTTTGTTTAAGCGAACTGAGAAAGAAGAAAGTTTTATTTTTTGTATATTGTCAGCAAGTTGGCTAGCCAGCACTTGTTAGAATATTATGAGACCATTCAAAGGTGTGCATTATTTAATGAGCCTGAAATATGCACATTTTCTATTTAAAACATTGATTTTTTATACTATTTCACAATCCCCCTTAAATTTGATACTATGGGTTTGAACATACTCTCATGTTGTTGCATTTCCTCTAATCATTTAATGCTGATCATTGTATTGCAATCATCAGCATTAAACAGTATTATTAAGTGAAGCAATAAATGGGGCGTTAAACTGAGCTCTTCTAAACCGGTGCTTTTGCGGATAACTAAAACAGTGCCGCTGAAATTTTCATACTGTATTGGCCAAGACCTTTTGATTGAAGTTAATGAGTACAATTATCGTGTAGTTAGCATTACTTACAATCTTAATAGGAGCGCCCACATTTAACTTCACCTTTTCAACTTTTAGAAAATTATGTCTTCTTCACCATAAGCCTAAACATGCACCCCATGACGAGAAAACTACAGCCTATACCACTCTCATCAAAGCCAAATTGGAATACACCTGCATTATTCGGGGTCCTTTCACCAAAACCAACATTTATGCTCTCGAAGAAATACTTAGAAAAGCTTCGAGATTCATTTTTTCTAAATACAGCCGCAATGATTCTGTTTCTAAACTTTTACATTCCGATAGATTTCAGACACTTTAAATGAGGCATAGGATGTCTTTCTTCAATGGTAAATTTTATATATCCCAGACCTTACATAACCCTTTTTGAGACTAGGAAAGCTTGCCATTTTTAGCTCTCACACTCTCTCCTTGTCTTGCCGTAACTGAATTCTGAACTATCTATGTATTCTTTCTTTCCCTGAACTATTGAAAAATAGAAGCTGATGCCTCTTCGTCATCTGGACTTACCTGAATCTATACAGAATTAGACCTTCAGTGTTTCATGATCTTTTTCGACTTAAAGTTGTTTGTTAGCCTAATTTCAGTTGAGTTTTTCAATTGTGCATTGTACGTTTATTTGTTTTGTACCTTGCCACACTTGCTTGGGCCACATGGCCTGCAGTATGTCATGAAGAAAAAATTAAAGATAACTGACCAATTCACTTTTATTCGCCTTGGTCAGTGAACATGCCTTAAGTGCCCTGGTACTCTTGTTTTCACGCAGTATCATCCGAGCCAGTGGAGGCTTCACGGTGAAGCACGCTACACAGCCGCCACGTCGGTCCATATCTTAGGAAGCTGGCCGGTGGTCAAAGACTCGGGATGAAATTGTTGTGCCCCTCAAGTAGCAGAGACGTGACATCGAAACGAAGAGCCAGTTCTTCCTCTTGGGATCATCAGCTCCACAGGCTTCGAGAACTGACTCATCTGTTCAGCTCTCCCCCTTCCCCAATTCTATTCACTTCCCTCTTGTTGTGCTTGTACTCCTCTGCGCAGTGGGCGAACATGTAACAGTGAATTTTACTTTGGGCAGTCAGTCAAGGAAGACACTAGCAATGCCCGTCTTCTTTATCGGTCACTCGTTTTGGGAATTTCCGCAGTTTTACCTGGCAGCATAAGCAGACAAACAAACAATAGCTCTGGGCCTGCATCCATTCCCATAAACGCTATCAAGCACACCGACGAGGCAGACTGCTGAAGTGTAACACCAGCTAGTGCTCGATCATAGCAAGACTCGAGTCTCCCTGCAGTGATCAACGTCGAATATAGCTCAGCGCTCTATGTTCTCATTGGGCTGGGGCCAATGGCATTTGTCATCCTGTTCGTGGGAACCTGTAGCTTGCGGTAGAAGCATGCTCTGAAGACTCGAAAGATGGTGATGCCTATCCCTAGTGCCGCTGGCGCAATAGATGAACAAATTTATGCGTTAACCATCTTGATCCAAGAAATGCACCTTATTGCTGTAGGCATGCACGTCTCAGCCAGCCGAGCAGTTGGGCTCATCACTGACGGCAGCAGCTATATATTGTTTTGTTATCTCAGATGACACACTGCCCCCTTTCATGAACAACTTCACGCACTCGGCATTCCAAGAAAGTTTGCCGCCTCTGGGCTCTTCAACAAGTGCTGAATTGGCACCCCTCCTTGGTGGAAAATAAGTCAAGGATAGCCCAGCTCTTCTTTAGAAGGCATTGCATTTCAAAAACATTCCCCACTATTCTATAACCTGCTAGTGTCAACTCAAGTATCAAAGTACTTGAGCACCACAATTTGGAGGAGCTTCTTTTGCAATGTTTACCTGTGTAAATTGTTAAGAAAGAGCAGTGAACAGTTGAGAGGCGGAGCTTTTTTCAACTTGCTTGCATGGGGCACACTTTGAGTTGAGGCCACTCTTGTCCACAAGGCGTTGAGTTCTTGCTAGTGTGCAAGGGATAGGCAGACTTGTTGCTAGAACTGTCACAGTGCTGTTGTTCAGCCTGCCGTAGTGCTACCACAAGTTTATTAGGCGTCACTTTACACTTATGCAGGAAGCTTATTTGGACACATGCTGCCAAAGCTACATCATTCGAAAGCTTAATTTGCTCAGTTTACTGCTACACGTACATTTCATTGTGGCCTGACAAAGAAAGCTTCTCTTGGGTCTTGTTATTGAGTGGCTACGTCAGTGGTCAGTTAGCATTTACTTGGACTGGCTGGAGGGTTTGCATGTGGGCATTTTCCATGTACCATGAAAATCCAGTGACCCTGATGGCAAGACTTCGCAATAGTTTTCTTACATTTGCGGAGGTCAAGATGCGTGGTGCCACTGCTAGTGCCTTCAGTGATTGCTCAGAGCTTTTTCTCCCGAAAGCTTCTACACTTTTGCGAGGCTGTTGTCACAGCTCGGTGTCTTTAGTCTTTGCGTTTTGCTCCTATATCCCATTTACTCGTGCATCTTATGTGCAGCTGGTACTAGCATGCACCGGTAGGGATGCGCTGACACTTAGAAGTTGCCAGTAGCACTAGTCTGTGCTAAAAGCGCTAAATCGAGCCACTGGTCTTAACAGTTACTTACAGGCAGCATGGGACATGAATTAAAAAGTGCTGTGCTTTGTGTTTAGCATGGAGAGAGTGTCACAGTTCTGTGCTAGTGAAACAATTAACAGTGCACTAGTACCGATTTCACTGGCACTTAACATTTGCTATTTAGTTTGGTAAGGTACTGCTGCGGCACACTGTGTACCTTTAGTCATGCCAATGGCCCATTGGTTTTAGCTGTGGTATGAGCTGACACAGCACATGTAATTTGTCATACCAGACTGACGTGTTGCACCGAATCTGGTTCTACAGTACTGTTTGTATATAAAAAGCTGTTATCTTGATTAATCAAAATGTTGCATGCAAGTCAATCTCACTCACATGGTCACTGCTGTAGACATAGCAACATCCTGCCTTACAAAGAAAGCTGTATTTTAAACCTTGCATTAGTCGTTTTAACAGTCTAATCATTAGAATCAAGCCATGCATCTGAAAAAAGTGCTTGTTCTTGTAAAGACAAAACATTATGAATATAACCAGCACTAAATTGTGAAACGCACAATGGCATTGTCAAAAGGCAGTTTGATGCTCTCTTTTGGACAGGTTTTATTGGTTTTTGTTTCCCCTTGAAGTCCACTTTAAGTGCATAGATGCAGCTCTGATAGCTAATAGATTCCAAGGCATCACAAATGAGTTCAAAGATTGAGCCTCTATCAATCTGCCTTATTCAAAAGACAAAATGTTGCTACTCTTGGGATAGGGTGCACCTGTGGAGGAACCCAATTGTGCAGTTTCAAAGGCCGCACCTGCGAGTTCTTTACAGTCAAGTCGTATCTACATATCGCAACCTTTCGGTGCTGTAGCATGTGAGGACGTGCTAAATGACAATCTCTTTCTTGTTTCTGACTTCTTCTTTCTGTTACTCGGATCTCACACTTCAAAGTACCTTTATCAGCGTAGCGAGGACAAAGTACAGGTTTCACGACATTGGTCGCGACTGCATGTTTCGTGCTGCCATCAGAGCTTCTCACCGCTTTGCTTTTAAACATTAGCACGCTTCACACTTTTCCAGTTCTTGGGCCTTTGCATTTGAAGGTGGTGTTTTTCGCACTTTTTGGCTTGTTTTCTCGGTACAGGCTGTGGTTGCTGTGCTGGCGCAATGTCGAAGCTTAGCGCTATGCTTTGCCAAGACAACTTATCTCATTTTTCACCTCCCATAAATCTACTGACCATATGAGTTATTATTATAATCGAAGGATGAAACAGTCACAGTGACTCAGCATGCAGCTGTTGCGCAGTGGTTCCGTTCTGGCAAAAACTGTGTTGAAACAAATGAAAACACTTAAATGATGCACAGGTTTGAAGACAGCAGCAAATGGCAAGAAGGGTGTGACATGACAACTTAGCTGGCAACTTGTTGATCGGTATGTTCGTAATGTACTAGCAAAGCCAACTTTTTCAGTGTCCACCAGTTTCTCTTCAGTTTCAGCAGAGGAAAGCACACTTCCAGTCTTTGCTTATTTAGCATTCTTCACCTCTCGCCAACATTCCCGAAAGTTGTGTCTACGAAATGCCTTGTAGCTCAGCTTCTGAGGTATCTTCTTTTTATTACATTTATACTAGCCATAGTAACCTGACTTATTAGTATATGTCCTTCATTTTGTTGTCAGCAGTTTTCTGTTGTCATAGCTTGTCCTGCCTCGTTAAGGCTCTCTTTCCGGAAATGGCCTACATTAGTCGCGTTACTTTACCATTGAGGGGGAGTGTCCTAGCATTCTGACAGTGTTCGTTGCGCATTATTTTACCTTGGTTATGTCTGCGAGTTTAACCGCCATGCTCTCTCTTTTCCTCTCTGTTCTAATGTTACCTGCTTTCTTTCGACAAAGACATTACTGGGCGTGTATTTCAAGTAGTGTGTACATAAGACAATATATGTAGTTAAAGTATCATAGTTTATAGTTTTGCTTAAAAGGCAACTTGTTACCTTCTTACCACCCATATTATGTCTGTGATGCTAGCTGCCACTTAATCTGGGTTTCTTTCCTTTTTTTGCGGTTGGGAATAGCAGAAAGGCTGGACTTACAGAAGCAGGTTCATTGTGTGATCCATAAATTTATTTGTGCTGCTAGGTGTTGCTTGGTATTTGACAGGTCCCTGTATTGCTGGAACAAGGTTATAGACAGATGCAGCTTAAAGCATACTTGTAAAGGTTCAATTCTTGTGCTGTAAACTATAAAATGATCCTCAAATGCAATCAGGTTTTCAATTTTTGGAAGCTTATTCAGCAAATACATAAGAATAAAAAGGTTTAGAGCGAGCCTTTTTTTAACATTGTTAAATACCTCGTGCGAGTTTCTGCAAACCTACAATTTAATGAAACCAACTCATTGCATGTATGGCTACAACTGCCTATCTGCAAGTGTTTCTGAAGTGTTTCTTGGTTTGATACTGTTATAACCGGACACAGAAGCTGGCCGCTACGCTGTGTTACTGCCAGCTCTGAGAGCTAAAGTGGTGGATGCTGGCACCGTCCGGCAGTAAGGAGACAAGTCAGGGTGAATGATCAGTGCAAGCACTGAGCTCATTACTACTGCTGGACTGTCAAAGTGCCTACATCTGTGCACTTGTTCAGAAGTGTTCTTTAAAGCAAGCTAAATGAGGCTAACACTGCTTAGTTCTTCTCTTTGCAGTTTTGGTTTGTTTGAATAAGGTTCATACTTCAGGGCTCGTGTGGTCTAGCTTCGGCAGTATGGTCATGCTCCATTTTGCTACAGCGTGTTAGAAGGAAGAGATCAGTTTACTCTTTATTTTGAGAGCAGTGTATGGACCCCAATCTCCCTTGGACATTCCTGTACGGATACATGGCATTGAGTGATAAGTTTGCATATTCAACAGAGGTGCGGCATATGGAATGCAATTTTACTTTCCTGTCATCTAGAAGGATTGAAGCAAATATTGCAGGTACAAGTCCGATTCCAACAGTTATAGATAGAGATTCAGCTTATGCTTTGTCAAGCAGTCGTAGACGTTCCCTCTTTGGTTAAACGTGTTGCTAATTGAGGACACTGTGTGCTCACATTACAGCCTCTGAACAATACATGTCACATCTCGTGCAGGTTACTCAGGTTTACGAACAGTAACTAGCTGACCAGCTTCCGTAAGTTATTTGCTCTTGTGGCAGGTACAAAAGTTTGCATATATGGTCATCGTAGTTGGAATGATAAAGGAGTCAGTACAGTCATTATTGCTGTTTCAAGATGCCTGCAACTTGTTTACCTGCACAGTGCTCTGTCTCACTTAGCCCTTTTTTTTTTCGAACAACAGTGTTGTGTGGAAATTCATTTCACGATTGTTGTCTGGCCTGCAAAAAGGAACAATGATTAGTTCAGTGTGTCCAGAGTATAGTCAGGAAGTAGTCGAACCAGGAGACCAACATGGCTGCATGAACCGTTGTAGAGAAAAAACAACATTAATGTTGTTCACCTTTCTCTAATCAAAAGACTTGGTTACGAAAATTGCAACTTGTTGTGTGTTTCCGCCAGTTTGACGGGGTTGCTGGTGCTTGCGTTGTAGATATTTGTTCATTTCAAAACTCAAGCGTGCACGCACTTATCAATATACATGAGCATTTCCCCGCGTGTGAATTTTTTTTCCATGTTGTAAACTTTCTCGCTTCCTGCATGTGTGGTTGGCTAGTACATCAGTGACCCACATATGAGGAACAGCTTCATTTTGTACAGTGGAGGCCGAGTCTTCAGTTGCAAGACTGGGCGGAAAAATGCCTCGAGTGGTAATGGCACTTTCCGGTGTGCATTGCACGCTTTGCAGAATGCAGTTCACTGTAGTCGGACATAGCTGAAGAAGTCCGTATTGGCCCTTCTAGAAATACTGGAGCACAGTGGCCAATCGCTCCGTGAACAAAGAAGTAGTCTTGCTCACGGGCTCGGCAGCATTCTCCAAAAGCGGTGTCATCGACTGCATAAAGCCTGGCAGTAGTCTGGAATGTGCACCCAATAAAGAATGTTTCTGTGCGTGCGCCATTGATGATTAAATGCCACAGACTTCGAACAATAGACTTGGCCTTGTGAGAGTGAAGGGACGAGAAAGTGTTTCGTGCTTATTGCGAGAAGTCATGACTGTAATGGTGCATGTTGTACAGGAAGAAAAAAAAAGGCAGTCACTGTTGTATCTGTAGCTACAGAATCTCAAAGGCGTTTCTCAAGGTGTCTCTTTTTTTCCTTTTTTGTCTTATCTGTCATGTTTATGCAGGTTTATCAAGGCTTGTAATTAAGGTTAGCATGTTGGTGCGATTTAAGTCCTGCCTAGGTGTGGCTTGCATCGCTTGCCTAATTTCTCCCTCTCTTTTATAATGTGTTCATGTTAGACGAATCTTCACTTTAAATTGTATTGTTTTAATCCACAGAATCGCGCTCTCTGCCACAAAGTATGGTGTTTGGCTTGTAAACTGTTGTATATTGGTTTAACGAACACTGTGCTTTCTTTATTTCATCTTTCTGAGTCTGTTGCTACGAGGGTGAAAAACTAAATTCTTTATTGCCCTCCTAATTTCTTTGTGTACAAAACTTTGTGTGTGAAGTAGGTCCCGACTTGGCTGTGGGTGAATGGGTCATTGCAAGACGTCAAGTGTGTTTGGTGAACATCGCAGGCATACTTTTGTGGACAGCTTGCAGCGTAGCTTATGTATTGAATATCTACAGTAGTAGTATCTGCGTGGAATGCAATTGTGTGGCGCATCTTTACTCAGTCTTGGGATTATCGAGCCACAATACAACTCCCAAAGCTCCTATCACTGATTTCTTGTGTTACCTATATCCAACTTCTTTTTTTTAGACAGCTGGAATGATGAGCATTTGACTAGCACTTGTGTGTCATAGCAATTTTTAACATATTGCATAACATAAGTACTTCAGATAAACAGAGTAAAAAAAAAGGAGATTGTCTTTCTCAACCAATTCTGCTGTACTTTAACCCTTGTTCCGCTATATTGCCCAGGAAAGTAATTTTCCACAAACTTGCAATACGTTAGGGACACAGAAGCCTTTGCAAGCAAAACTCGGTTCATTCATTGCTTTAGTGGAGCAATGCGTGGAAATTTGCTGTTGCATAGCTCGCTTTGTCAAAATCATTCCAACTCATAGCCAAAGGCCTCACTCTGGGACTTATGAAATCCGTGTGTATCGAAAGCTACGTCATAATTGCCTGGCGGAAGCACCACTGTTAGTCAGCTCGGCAGCACCTAGCACACGAGATATTGGCATACAACGAATGACACAGCAGTCAGTGCGAGTGTATTTTACACATGTGCTATGGTGTTGTGCATGTGTGCTAGTGTTTTAGCAAGTAGGACATGCCTGTCTGTCAGCAGGGGACGATCAGTCCTGTTCCATATCACTCCTGAATAAGCTCTTTTTGTGGCACTTTCCCTTTTGTTTTTCTGCGACGCTAGATTTTATGCAATGCTATGCAACAGATTTATGCAATGCTAGATGTATACTGTGTGTCTGAGCCTCCCTCTGCATTTTTTTTGTAATGTTTGAGATGTCGTTTTTTAGTATGAATAAATGATTGCTTTTTTAAGTGGTCCTTTCTGAAAACTGGTGCAAATGCTCTCACTATTCGTTGATTCTCACTGGTTTTTTTTATAGATTATTTGCTTTTTCATTGCGAATTTTGCAATTCGTGTATATGTACAGCTTGGCAGCACAAACCTGAATATAGCAAACATGGATATAACAAAATATTTTGGTCATAACGAACTAAACAAAAAGTAGTCTTGTAATAGATAGTGTTAGGAACAAACTTTATGACGAATTTCTATATAACAATCTTATTTTTTCTTATGATGCAACTTTGTTATAATGAGGTCTGAGTGTACAATGCGAGCAACCTAGTGTCCAAGGTAGGCACATACGCAGTCTTGCACTAAATGTCACAAACAAGATTCTTTTTTTTTACGCCATTGCGATAAAAAAAAGGCAGAGACTGCTGCGCCGCACGGCGCACGAGCCACCCCCACACAGAAACGGCTGCTGCGCCGCATGGAAGTGACGTCATGCATTTTCCGACTAGACGCTTTGTTTGAATAGTCGGGAGTGTCTAGCGGTACGTCTAGACATAACGATAAAAGCCGTTAAAATTACGTCCAAACGAAAAAGTGAACAAAAATGGTATTTAGGTTTAGCGTGACAACAATACGAAACCGGCTTGTTTGTCATCTCAAACCGATCGGCAGCCGTGGCGTCATTCTTTCGTCGGCACTCACGCGCGTCGGATGCAAGAATCATGTGCTCCGTAGGAGCGGCGTTTGCGGCACATACTAGCCGCGGTAACAGGATGACCGAAGACCAAGACGCAGGCTATGAGATTATTTTGCCACCACTGCCCAAGGGACGCGTCGCGCAAAACACCGTGTTTTTACACGGTGATGTGCGCGGCAGACCGTATCGAGTCGAAGATTTCCGAGACGCGCTCGGACCTACAGGACTGCTGCCGGGGGTGTTGGCACTGGGGGCCTACCAGATAAATCATGTCTGGGCAGTCACCATGAACAACGCGGACGCTACGAAACGCTTGCTGGACGTGAAGGAGCTGAAAGTCAAGGGTCGACGCTGCATCATCGTAGACCCCCAGGATCAACAGGTGCGGCTGCGTCTTCATTCGCTGCTGTACGGCGTCAACGATGAAGACGTGCGAACGGCGTTGGCGGCTTTTGGGAAGGTCGTACAAGTCACAAGGGAGCAATGGCGTGTTCAAGGTGTCAGCGACAAGGGTTCAACCACACGGACTGTGCTTCTTAAGCTCAAGAGTGGCGTGAAGGTTGAAGATCTTCCGCATCAAATCAGGGTGGCTGGTGAACTGGCACTTGTGGTTGCACCTGGTCGGCCAATGCAGTATCTGCGTTGCCAAGGTACCGGCCATGTTAGAAGAGAGTGTAAGGTACCCCGATGCTCGCGTTGTCGGCGGTTCGGCCACAGCGAAGATGCGTGCATGTGCACGTACGCATCGGCTATCGGACCAGCCGAAGGTGAAGACACAGCAGAGTTGGTGATGGACGTGACCGAGGCTGAAGACGCGGCGAAAGGCGCAGGCGACGCGGTGAACCCAGAAGCTTCAACAGGTACAGTTACACCGACTGGTGGTGATGAACCAGCAGCCAAAGCAGACATAGCATCTAGTGAGGTGGTTACTCAAGAGCCAGCCGGCCAAACCGAAGAAGGCTTCACAAGCACCCCATCGAAGGAGCCTGAGCCGGGTGAATTAACCGAACTTCCAGTGTCGTGCGAGAGTATCAGTGGTGGGGTGCCAAGACAAAGACCCCGCGAGCAGTCTGCAGGACGGCGTGAGGCGTCCAGCGAAAAGCAAGAAGGGGGGCCACCTGCGAAGGCGGCAACTTCGTTCAGACGCAGCAGCACAAGGCTGCGTCCCAACCCGATATCGGACAAACACTGGCCACCTTTGTGCTCCAGTGGCACGGGTCCACCTGGAGGCTCCGAAGATGTCTAGCTCTATGCTAGACGCCGAAGTTAAGCACCATGCCCCGGGCTAACTTCTTAACTATGTAGACATGGCTGTTGTACCGAAACTTTGAGTGGCAACGTTAAATGTTCGAGGTCTTGCCGCCAAGCGGAAACAGAGCCAAGTCTACAGGCTGCTCGTGGATCATGATTTGGATATACTAGCTGTACAAGAAACAAAAGTAGACGGTGAGGAGGAGGCCCGGGGCATGGTGCTGAGGTTCACGACGCGTTACTACGCAATTGTAACTCAAGCAATAGGCACTTCTGCAGGCTGTGTTTTGTTCATTAAGAAGGTACCGGGTCTGGTAGTGCAAGATACCTTTTCTTGCCCGTCTGGTAGATTGGTTTCCTGTGATTTAGTATTCAATGAATGTCAGTGGCGTATAGTGTGTATTTATGCACCAACCATTTGCGAGGAGCGATCAATTTTTTTTCAAGCCTAAAGCAGCACTTCACTTTGGAAAGAAAATATGTATTACTGGGTGATTTTAACTGCGTCCTCAACGGGCGAGATCGAGCAAACGGACGCGCCATGTACGATAAAAGTAGTAGGACACTAGCGGACGTAGTTACTGAATTCGAGTTAGAAGACGTGGGCAGCTGTATGGAGGGAACGCGGGATGTGCGTTTCACACATTTTCAGGGGAATAGCCATGCGCGTCTTGATCGCATTTACGTGTCGCTTGAATTAATAGCCCATTGTAAGACATATGCTGTCTACCCAATACACTTCAGTGATCATTGTTTAGTTAAATGTGATATGGGAGAGAAAACAAAAGGTGGAACTTTCTCATGGGAGCTGTGGAAGATGAATTTCACTTTGATCACTGACGAGTATTTCTTAAATCAGGTAATGAACTGTATCAATGAAATAAAAATGGATGATGAAGTTAAACTTGCAGAACAATGGGAAGAGTTCAAGCAGCGAATAAAAATAAAAGCTATTGATCGTTCTTGCGCATTAAGTTACGAAAGGAAAAAGAAAGAAAAAGAACTCCGAAAGACTTTGGAAAGACTAATCGACTTGGAGTGCAAACAACCGGGAGAGTATAAAATTGACATACGCAATATTAAGCAGAAACTTGCTCTGTTTGACGAGGAACGCTACCGCGGTGCTCTCGTCCGTGCTAGGGCTGAGGCATTAGCGGCTGGAGAGACGCCGACCAAAAGAGCGTTAGGCGTGGAGAAAACGAACGCTCGACGGAATCATATCGAAAAAATAGAGAAGGACGGTCACGAAGTAACCGATACGGACAGCATTTTATCCGTATTTTCAAGTCATTTTGAAACCCTTTTTGCGTGTAGACAGGTAAACCTAGAAAGATTTAAAGACGAATAATTAGGACGCATGCCGCAAGTGAATGAGGAAGTGAAAAACGCTTTGGAATTATCTATCTCTGCATCTGAAGTTGAACGGGCGATTGATAAGTTAAATCCCGGGAAATCTCCAGGACCAGATGGTCTTTGTGCCAAGTGGTACAAATGTTTTAAAAGTGGTTTGTCTTCAATACTTGCGGGCGTATTTCATGAGGCATATCAGGAAAAGAAATTACCACCATCCTTTGGTGAATCGCGTACCGTTCTGATTCCGAAAACAGACGAGGTTGAAAAGCTCAGGCACGTCACAGCGTACAGGCCAATCGCACTGACAAATGTAGACTACAAAATATTAATGAAAATTTTGGCAGCTAGACTTCAGTCAGTTATAAAAGATATCGTTGGTCCACACCAAACGTGTGGAATCAAAGGTCGGTCAATAGCTACAAATGTTCATAAAATGCGATCCGTGCTCGAATGTGTTGACACCAGTCAAGCTCGTGTGGCCATACTCCAGCTGGATCTGGAGAAAGCGTTTGATTGCGTTGCCCACGCTCTTTTGTTTGCAGTATTGGAGCACATTAATGTTGGTAAGATAATTATTGACGGCGTAGCCATGGCATACCGGAATGGTAGTACGAGACTAATTATTAACAAGACATTGGGCCCCCCCATTAGAATTGAGCGCTCAGTGCGTCAAGGTTGCCCTGTTAGTCCACTTTTGTTTTGCATCTATATTGAAACTTTATGTAGGTCGATATTGCAGAATGACATCATTAATGGGTTTAGAGTGCAATCTTCAGAGGTCAAACTCCTCGCATACGCTGATGATGTTGCTATTTGTAGCACTTCCTATGTAGGTATTGAAGAATCAATCAGGGTTTCTAAATCTTTCGCCGAAGCTACAGGAAGCCACATAAACTGGGGTAAATGCCTCGGCTTCTGGCATGGATATTGGCCTTCAACACCAGAATTTTTTTGCAGCAATTAAATGGACAAGAACGCCAGTTAAATATCTCGGAGTACCGCTTGAGTCATACAAAAGTACTGATGAATATTGGACACAGCAAACGAAAGAAATTAAAGAGAAAGCGAATAGGTGGAATGCAACCTATCTGTCCATGTTTGTTAGGGCTACTGCATGCAACTGGTTTTTCGTGTCAAAGCTGTGGTATGTGATGCAAGTGCTGTACTGTTCCCGGGTCAATGTGCAAAAATTACATCGGGTGTTTGCAGTATTTGTGTGGGGTTCTAACTGGGAAAGGTGCAGTCGCACGAATTTGTTTAGACGGGTGAAGTGTGGAGGCCTTGGGCTAGGACATCTGTTTATCAAGCAGTTAGTAAATAGGTTTTTCTTTTTTCGCGAGACAAGAGATCCTTTCCTACTAACAGTGTGTCAAACAAGACTAAGTAGACTGTTGCCCGAGTTTGTTGTGAGCACTCATGTTACCACAGGGGCTGTGCAAGGATACATGAAGGAAGTTGTGGCCAGCGTGCGGTTTTTGTGTGTTCGGTTTTCAACTGACTACCTGTGGTCTGTTGGAAAGAAAAAACTGTACAAATATTTATGTGACACGATGCTCCCCATCCCATTGTACAGAGCGCTATATACAGCACGCAAGGGTCAGAATGTACTTAAACGAGTTAAAAAAATGCCAGCAGCTCCAAGTGCGAAAACGTTCTTTTTCAAATTACACACTGGAACACTTCCTGTAAGAACCTTCCTAGAGGAGCGTGGGTTTTATATGCCTTGGG